ATTAGACTCCTAATTGAATCTTTTTTGTTGAAAGATAATAGCATATGTTAATAAATATAAGCTATTAGTAATATTTCCATTTAATTCTTATATATCATAATAAAATCCTAATAAATATATTATTTCCTTCCTTATGCGCATCATTCTCCTCCACTTGGTGAAAACTCGACCTCAAGTTTTATAGTGTTGAAGCCATACAAATTTCGAGGCAGCAAAATAATACAACTACAGTGCTTTTGGTAACTCAACTTCAATCTTCAAACCAAACAAAATAGATTTTAGAAGTAGGATGTTTAGCGTCAAATTCTTTAGAAAAAATGAACTCAACAGGTTGAACAAATTGCAAGACAAAGAGGAACTCAAAATTTTCTTCCACAGTTTCCACTAAACCATTTGGCTCTAATTTTGAAAGTTTCTTGAATACCATTTTGTCAACGTCTTCTCTATTTTCCACCCTATCATTGACCTTTGAATGTTGAAGCTCTTCAAGTAACTCATTTGGCTTGAATTCTTGTTCAAAACCCAACAAAAGAGAAGTAAAGTAACACACCAAATTGTTTCCTTGAACTTTCACTGTATCATTTTTTGTCACTAAGTTACTATCGTCTTCCTTGGGTATGGGAATACCATAGCAAATAGTTGACTTTGGAATTTCTTCATCAGTAACAAAATTATCTGCTACACCCTTTCTCAAATAAGGCTCAAGCTTAGCAGTACAATTTGCAAGCACTTTTCTGACAAATTTTGAGCAATAGGCAAAACAACTATATCATCTTTTTCCACACACAAAAGCAATAGAGATAGTAGTTCCGTAGGAATATCTTCACTTTCTTGTAAAACAAGAGTCATGCTACTTTCCATATAGCCAAAGACAACTTGTGGTTGGTAATCTCGGATTGATAAAAGAAAATGTTGGAACATTTCAATAATTAGTGCATCACACTCAAAATCCAACATTAATGCACAAGATTGAACCCTAACCATAATGCTTAGAATTGTTTTTCTATTATAATATGAGTTGTCACAATTATTAAACAAATGCTCAAATATGATGAAACAATTAATTTAAATACCTCCTTCATTTCGTCATCATCATATGGAGCATCTGTTAAGTTCTCTTTGTTTTTTGATGATGGTTTAAAACCATGATTCAAAAGAGTTTAATCTATTTTTGTGCTAAGTATGCAGGAAAATTAATCCAAGGTTTCTAATTTTTCCCCATGATTAGAATTAATTCATGTTCCTCCTTGTTCAGAGTTCTGGATTCGAATCAATTTATTTTGGTTCAAATCAATCTCGGACTTTTGTTTTCCGAAAATGATTCGAAGCAAAATTTCTGGCTTCGAAGCAAAAATTCTAGAAAGTTTAATTTTGACAGCTTAACTATCTGTTTTCTCTTAATGGGTCATAGGGTATCTAAATGTCTTAGCACTTTCCAAGACAAGTCAGAAGAATAAGGTGGAACCTAATTGGGGCAATTGTGAGGTGGCTTTGAAGGTCTAAATGGGCAATTAATGGTAAGGCTCCCAACCAATTATTAAAACACCAAAAATCAGATCTGGAGAGGGAGAAGAGGGACGAACTGCTACAAAAACAAGAGTTTGAAACAATTCTGGGTTTCCTTTTTCTTCTTCTTGTAAGCTTTTGGGTATATTGTCTTACAAGGGTTTTTGTATTCTTCTTGGATTGGGTTAATCCTTGAAGGGGTTGAGTGAGTTGAGATTCACTTGTGAGGGTTTAATCTTGCACCCGCAAGCAAGAGGTTGTTCAGGTTTAATCTTGCACATGTAAGCAAGAGATTTCTAGTGGATTGAACTCTCGAGCAAGGAGGCTTGGGGAGTGGACGTACTCCAGGTTGGAGGAACCACTATAAATCACGGCTTGATATTCTCTTCCCTTTCTTTTTATTTTTTTCTGCACTTTATTTGCAAGATTGCAGTTGATCTTTGTTTTATTTTGCATAACAGATTATACATATATATTGAAAACTTCATTCACGTTTTTATAAGGGAATAGAATGAGTTTTATATCTTAGGAATTGGCTTGGGGTAGCTGCTGGGATTTCAATTGGTATCAGAGCAGGTTCTCTTTGAAATAGATTTAACAATCTTGAGTAGATCCATGGCTTTCCAAGCTCATTTTGTTGAAGGTCATTCAATCACTAGGCCACCTTATTTTGATGGAACAAATTATCAATACTGGAAAAATAGGATGCATATTTGGTTAGAAGCAAATAGCTATGAGATGTGGGATTGCATTGCTAGAGGACCTTATAAAGTATTAGCTAGAGACCAGAATAACCAACTTGCTCCTAAGGATCCTGCATCATATGACCAAGCTGAAAAAAAGAAACTGCAGATAAATGCTCAAGCTAAAAATGCATTATTTTGTGCTTTACATCCTAGTGAATATGATAGAATTAGTGCATGTGATTCT